TTTTTTTTTTTTTTTTTTTCTTGACCAATATTAGAAAGTACATGCTTATATGACTTGTTTTCTGAACATTGTGAAGTACATCATCCCTCATGCTGCTCCCATCTGTTGACTGTCAGCATCTCTCATGTCCTGCATTTTGCAGACTTTATTCTGTTTAAAGTAATAGAATAATTGAAAATAAATGTCAGAAGCATTAGAAAAATGTAAATATAAAAATGCCCTCCGAATTGCATAGTAGAAATTACTCTCAGTTTCACCGATACAAAACCTAGGAAATGCCAAGGTGTCACTATCTATATGCGGGAGCAAGACATGGTAAAAGCAAGAAAATGGCATTTCTTAAAGTTCGTTTATGACTATATGTTTTTGCAATATTCTTTTCTATATATCTTGATTCTTGTGTTTTTATGTTATCTGATCAGAAAACATGTTTTATGATTTTAGTTTTGTGCAAGTGTTTGGTTTTATGTTTAAGTTGAATATTTCTGTCGCACTAGGAGTTCATGATGCCAAACTAGTTGGATGAGCCAGAATGTTTTCTGCTCAAAAGTAGTCAAAAGTTATTAGCAGGTGGGGATAAATTCAATAGGTGAGGGCTGAATGAAGTTCAGTCCTTGTAAATGCAATTGCTCAACTGCTGTACTTTTTTTTTCAATGAATGTCTTGGTTTAAGTGCTGGCTTCATCTTTAACGTTCATTTTAAATAGAATTCTTTCATTGGTTGATGTTAGAGACGACTTAATATGTGTCTCAGGATTTATACGTAGGTCATTATAATTTCAGGAAACACTCCTCCTTTCTTGTTTATGACCATTGCATACGCATATTAGAGAATTTACATAATTTTATTTATCTTTTTTTTCGCTTTTTGAAAAATGATAGATTAGGCTGGAGAGTAAAGGTGGGAGCCACTCATCTCTCGTGTTCTGCACCAATGGAATTTTGTTGAGGATTTTAGTTGGGAGAGGAAGTGGCAGAAAGAAGAAGTCAAAAAAATCAGCAAATAGCAACTTTGGCATCACCCACATAATTGTGGTATGCTATCTTTAGAATGCATCTATATGAGTTCATCAATTTCTCTCTCTCATGATTATTATATTACTTTCTTTAGGGGAAACCAAACTATTCATTTTCCAATCACTATGCCCCTGAAAAAAAAAAAAAAAAA